TTGCGATTTTGCTCGTTTGCTGCGCTTTCTGCGATTCGGCTTGGCATAATTCAAAACAGGCGTAATTATGCCACTGCCGAGGAAGGGGAGACCACAGTTATAGCCCCGCCACGGCTCTTGCTACAAACGGTTGCACTTGGGTGTCATATAAATGATCCCACTCCCCCCCAATACAGCTGCAATTCATGCCGCCAGCAGCGTGCGAAAGTTCAATAATGTTTGGTAACAGACCAATTGAGGCGGTCGTCGCAGTTCAAATTGAAGATAGCAACTGATAATTCGTGGGAGAGTTTTATGGCAGTGGATTCCCAGTAATCGGGGTGAACAAACCCATATCACTTTGGAAAATTATCAACGGATGGACCCTGCACACAGTTTTAAGGATCATTGATCAACGATCATGTGGCATGTTGCCATGTTGCCTTGTGTTAGACATGTAATTTCTCTCACTTAAACACCAAAAACACATAATTCCTAGCACATACACCCATACCCCAGAAAGAAAAAAAAAAGGGACTGACAGCTGACACTGGCCTGGTTTGGGCCACTACGGCATTTGTATCTGCATCTGCATCTGCAACTGCAACTGCGGCATGCTGCGTAGCCAACCCGAAAGAAAATCGATTTATTCTTGTTGTTTCATTTTCTATAAATGCCATTTTCCTCATTTGGCTGCCTCTTTGTTTTCGTTTGTGCGGCATGCTTTGTCCCATTTTAAGACCCTAAGACAGACTCTCGGACGCTCAGCTATTTGTTGTTCTTTGGCATTCGTTCCCAAGGGATTGGGATCGGGAAATAGAATTGGGCATGGGCATTGACATGGGCATATCTCATGCAGAGCATCTAATAATTTCGCTTTTCCACGAACCCAGTTGCATCTTCTTGGGGGCAGGGAAGGGATTGCTAGATGTCTCCTCATAAATAAGTCAGCTACTTTATAGGCACACAATGCGACAGGCGACTGGGCGGGTTGCCCGGTCTCGTTGGTTTGTTTATTTGGTTACTAATTTGGGATTCCTCGGTTGCTTTTGTTGTGTGTGCTGTGTGTGTCCGGAATTTTAATCACTTGGAGGCATTTTGAGTAATGGGGCGCGGGCGAACGTCCCCGGAGGAGAATTCGGGTTGATCAGGTCGCGTTTTTGGCCACCAGTCAGAGGCCCAGTTGTGAATGAATGTGTGAGAAAATGTGCACTGATGACAGCGATGATAGCCGCCGTGTGGCTAGATGTGGCTATGAATGGGCCGTATCGATGTTGCCTGTCGACAGACAGACAGACAGACAGACAAATGCCCGGGGCCATAAAGAACCCGTGGAAAAGGCCTAATGGCACTCGTGTGGAATATGGCTGTAATATTTGTTTATTAGTGCGTTAAATGGGAAGTTTATCAATGTAGCGGTCCGTCTATAAACATCGTTTGAGAATACATTTTATTAATTTCCGAATATCCGCCTTCAAATGCATTCTTATTTTTTTTCGGGGAAAGTTAGGGAGCAGCTTTTAATATTTTCCGGGCCTATTTCCATTTTTGGTTAAGCACTTGCGACGTGTTCTCAATTTCTAGAGAGAAAGCCGAGCCTAGTCATCGTTGTCAAGTTGGGCTATCAATAATTTTAAAAATCTGAAACCACAATACTCACAAAACTATGATAACAAAAAACCAGGACAAATCAAGTATCCATTTATTTTCCATATAAGATGTTATTTATAGTCCTATCCCTAGAATTTAATAATCAATTTCGATAATCTATACAACATTTTATGAAAGTATAATAAATCAGAACATACATATTTACGGGCAAATTTCAAAATTGAGAAAAATGGTTGTAGAATATCTGCTCAATATCCATTTTTTGACAAAGTGTCCTAATTATAAGACAATCTTAAAGCAATCTTTTAGTTAAAATACATAAAAATAAAATTATCTTTAAGCTGAAACTATAACCTACAAAGGATTGTTAATTCCACAAACATTTTTGCCGTTTATGATATGTTTTTAGAAGAGGCTAGAGGGAAATTTTAAAATATCAGAGATTTGACAAGACATTCTGACAACTTGTACAATGATTCAATCACATTGAAGTAATTCCAATAAGTTGGGCTAAAAAATTCAATTTAAATTCAAATTATAGTTTTATTAATTTGAAACAGTCATACATTTATATGAGGGTGTGTCAAAAGCTTATTCTACATTTTACATTTCGATTTTACATTACTTTTACAAATGGTTTGTGAGTTGACTAACGAGTTGTCTTTTTCATGATATAGTTTAAAGATTTTAAATTTAAATTATATTAAAGTGACATATTATTATATTTTCTCTCTCTTCTTCCCTTCTCTTCTTTTTTAGTCGAGTCAACGACCATGCCTCCAAATGTGGAAGAAGGCACCACCTTACTTCCTGTTCTATTGGAAGAGAGTTCATCTACGCCGGAATCAACGATTCAGAATGTCACTACCACTACTCCTGCTCAGATTATAGAAGATGCCATAGTTGAGCAAGCTATTTCGTCTGATACTGTTGAGGCCACGGACAACTTTGTATCGGTCTACGGTGGAAACCTGGAGCAGGATATCAAGAACGACGTGAACAGTGAGGTGGAAGATGCACCTTCTCCCGTGGAACCTATTATCGAAGATGTTCAAAAGGCCGCGGAAGCCGTACTTGAAAATCAAGGGAGTGAGGGTGAGTTATAATATCTGAATAAGTTGAAAGTCAATCTAATTGTGTTAATTTCCACAGCTGCAGTCCAAACTGCTCGCGAACCAAAAACCCTTGATGCCGAAGAGAAGAACAAGCCAATCCAAGACGAGGAGTCGGAGTCGGAGGACCAAGCGGAACCAGAGGCAGTAACAGACAACATTGCCGTGTCCAGTGAGCAGGTGGAAAGTCGCAGCAGACCGTTGCCCAGCGTGACCAGCGACCTGGTATCCGTGATCCTCAACGAAGATCGAGCCATCACCGAGCAGCCCATCACGAAGACCAATCTTTTGGCCCTGGAGCAGGAGCACGAGGTGTTCGAGGGCGAGGACAGCACTCCGGAGCCAATCTACGAGGAGCCCAAGCATCAAGTGACCAAGAAACAGGGCGTAGTTGACCCCTTGCCCATTGAAGTGGCCCCGGAAGTGGCCGAGGAACCAGAGATCGACCAAGTGGCTCCGGAAGTGGCCGAAGATTCAAAGACTGTCCGTGTGGATAGGAAATTTAAGGAGCCCAACGACAACCAAAATGATATCGATGACAACACTATTGAAGGCGACGAGGCTCCAATCAAGACTTCGACTACAGCAGCTCCTTTGGTCAACGCTGAACCCACTAAATCAGTTCCTGAGCTGAAAGCAGAAATCGAGAAGGAAGCGGAGACTGAGGACAAGGCAGAAGTCGAGGCTGAAGTGGAAGGCAACACCACTTCGGAAGAGACAGTGGTGGAGGCCGTAGATCCAAATGATGCGAGGCCTGAAGAGGAGGCTGCCACAGAAGTTGCCAGGATAGGCGAAGAGGAATTAAAGGAAGAACCTTTAGAGCAACAAGCTGATCAGAAGGAACCCACTGCCACAAAAGTGGCAAAGACAAGCTTTGAGCAACCAAAGGAGGAGGAAGTTGCAGATCAACAAATCGATCAGAAGGCAACCACTAACCAGGAATCTTCAGAGCCAAACTCCACAGAGAAGCCACTGAAAGTAGAGGGATCCCTAAATGTAGATGGTGAATCTGTAGAAGAGCAAGAAAGCTTAGAATCGGAAGAGAAACCAACAGAACGCACAGAAATAGATGACCATTCCTCGGAGGAGGAGAAGGAGGAGCCGGTTGGGGCTGAGGTCAAGTCCTCTTCGGATGATAGTACCGCCACTCCGCTGGTCTCCTATCCGCCGCACGATGCTGGCCAGACCTTCGATAGCAACTCGGCCGACGAGCATTCGGCCCAGCTCTCGGGACCCTCCAACTACCGATCCAGCCTGATCATAGCCCTGTGCTCCGGCACCGCGGTGATCTTCATCGTGGCCTCACTGGTGATCTTCGTGGTCTCCTTCCAGCGCCAGCACGGCACTCTGGACATCGAGATGCAGGAACAGCGCCTGGGCAAGGACGTCCAGGACGAGGACAATGCCCAGATGAAGCTGCTCGACGTGGATCTCTCGTCGCCCGTCATTGTGCCCATGGGCAACGAGGAGACCGACGAATGCCTGTAGACTCTCTCAGCACCAAGAGCATCTTGGTGCCCTGTACATATTTATTAACTTTGAGATTGAGAAGAGGACTTTATTTTGGTTTCTAAATTGTTGACTGAGAGCAGCTGCGAGCAAATCAAACGAAATATCGAATCAAATCGAATCGAAATCATTTGCCATACTGTTTAATTTTAAATACACCTTAGCCCCTAAGATTTTGCAAAAATTCGAGAAAAATATTTATATTTAGACACTTTTTTGTAGAGCTAAGCGCACATTTTTATTGAGTCTGATGAGAAGTCAGAATAAATATTTTCGATTGGTCAATTTTTAGAGTATCTTTGGGAATGTTTTTAAAGCCGCGCTGCATACTTTCTGGCTTGGGTGGGGATGTTTTCAACTTGACGTCCATCTTACATTCAGTTAAAGTATAAAAAATCTACAAAACTGGAACTTTTTAATTCACAATAATGTCAAAACAAGATAGTCCAGATCATGGATTAGTTAAATCTTACTTAAGTATTTTTACACTGCAAAAATTATAAAACAAAATTGAAAAAAGATCCACTAGCTCACCAAAAAAATTCATTATTTTGCTTAATTCGGATCCCCAGATATCAAAAATGGCATTAAAATTGATATTTTAAAGTTTAAAGAAAGTTTCGACTGTTTTCTTGGTTTTATCGAAAACAAAATAATTAATAAAAATTTGTTGAAGAATGATAGTTACTAATGACAAAAATGGATTAGTTGTTTATCAGTTAACATGATCTTTCACTGAACTTTTCCAACTCTGTAGCCAATATCAGACCCTAAATTTCATACATAGTGTGTCATGCACTGTACTTCTCACATATTAGAAAAATTTACCTTCTATTAAGAACTAAAGCTCTAGGGATGGATAAACACCGCCCCTATTTAACTAAAGGTTCAACCCAATCAAACCCAGCATCGTTTTCCAAGTAAGATAGTTAAATCTATTTGCAACTGAAAATGGTTTGTTATTAAACATTAATTTTTCATGGTATTGCGAAGGAGGCTTCATGGGGCATTTGATGCGTTTGCAAGAGGAGCACCCCGGTTAATTGATTATGATGAGCAGAAAGCTGGGAACAAGGATATTCTTGTACTGGGACACTCTAAGCCGCCTCTGGACGTTTTGATGGAGCATGTTCAGTCGAATAAATATGCAGATGTGGCCGTCACCGTCAAGGGTCATTCGTTCATTTGCCACTCCCTTGTGCTGTGTATTTATTCAAAGCGGATGGTAAAAGAATTGGACAGTAACTGCATGTTTATTAACACGCCGCAGCTGACCGCAAAGGGTTTTAGCGAAGCCTATCAATGGATGGTTTCCGAACACGCCGACTTGGACCTCTCTAGCTTCATCGACGTCTTGAGAGCTGCGTATTATCTGAAAATCCCTGATTTGATCGGCAGTTGCTGGCAAATTCTGAATAGTGAGCTGTTCGACGAGTTCTCAGCCTTTGGCTTGATGTACCAAGGACGCAATGCCTACGAACTAGCAAAAATTCACGACCTGCTGGCAGGTCGCCTCTCTAAATCAATGATGAGAGTGGCCTCAAGCCGGGAATTTTTGGGCCTCAGTGAACGGCAGGTATGCAGCCTACTGCAATCAAATAGCCTGGCAGTCAACTCGGAAATGGAGGTAGTCCTATTTTAACTTATATACTTATTAAATACTAAATACTGTTTATTATGCAGGTTCTGTACAGCGCATTGTTGTGGCTCAATCATTTATGGCCAAAGCGCAGTTCAAGCACTCATAAGGTTTTAAAAAACATTCGTTTCGGTTATTTGCCTCCCACAATGTTAAGCAAGTTTAAGTCCCGGGAACGAAACAAAGTAGGTTCTTTCGGACCAATTCTGAATGTGTTTTGTCAACTCCCCGACCTTACACGCCTCATTCAGGAGGGAGTGTTCTACAGCAGTTTAATAATGACCTCCCACAAAGACTCAAAGCACGTTCTAGAAAGCATAGAAGATAACCAGTTGAAGCTGATCAATCCTCGAAAATGGGTATGTGATAGTACATGTGTATACCATCATATCGTAAGCCCGTTGTGCCCAAATATGCGTTACATATCATTTCAACAATTTAAGGAGTATCTGTATCAGCTGCAGATCGCCGGTCGTTATTTTGACCAATTCATGTCATATGCAGAAGACATAAAAGATGGTAAAGAAGTTTCTGATTTGCAGGATAAGCAAAATGTGAATGAAAAAATGCTTCATTCAAGACTATCAGAGTTGAGCCTGTCGCAATACGAACTACTTGTGAAAAACAACTTTAGCCAGTTTAAAAAAAGTAAGAAAAAGGAAAAGGAATAAAAAATAAAGTTGTAAGATTTACTGAAAAAAATGAAAATGTAAATTTATACTTTATATAATAAAATCGCAATTAATCTTTAATTATGTTCTGCAAGTAGACAAGTAGCCCCTTATTTAAAGTTTAAAGTTTAATAACAACCATAAATCGATAAAAATATAAGAATGAGTTAAAATACTTAAACATTACTTTGCTATATCTTTGAGAGTTATTTTGGAGATCTGGAAATCCGACCTTAACAATAATTGTAATCAGCGGCTTGGAAGCGCTTTGTCTGTTAACAAAAAATGTACATATTTTCTGCATTTCAGCAAGGGTTTGGCTGAGTAAACGTGGTTTAAAGTGATAGGCATTTGTTGTTTAGATGGTAAATAAAATGTGCAGAAGGATTTATGTCGGAACCGCTAACATAGTTTATTGAAGCCCCAAAAAACAAGTTTCTTTTGCTAGTTGAGCTTCACTCACACAGTTAGTATAAACATTCAGATAGCTACTAACCGCAGTTAAGGTATAAATAACAATCGGACAACTGTTGCATTATGCATTAGTGATATATATTATTTGTGTATAAGCAAAAGCGTTATTATTCACATGCCAAAGCACAGTCTAGATTAGACTTGGTAAAGGTTAACCAGAAATGATTTACTGGGGAAGTACATACAAGTCACTCACCCAGGGCAACCGTACGCCTAATTGCTTGTCAGGCGTATTGATCAAAAGCTTATTTGCCACTTGGCCAGTGCGGGCGGCAGGCTTCAAAGTCGATTCTTAATTAGTTAATAATAAATCGAGAGCGGACCGATCCGAACGGAGAGCTTGCAACATAATAAATAAGAGCATGTTGAACTCCCACCCGCCAGTCGGCACTCCCATAATTTTAGAAGCCAAGCGCTCCGCTTTTCATCGGAAAACTGAGTGGCTGTCGCTGTTCAAATGAGCTTAATGAGCAGAGAATTTCACTCTGCTTGCTGCGTGGCCGAATGAAATAAACAAAACGATTTTGAGATTAAGAGCTCGTTCAATCGGATATGTATTTGTTTATGCGGCATTATGCAAGAGGAGGGCCCGCACAGTGGTCTTCGGTTTCTGCCGCCCCGCCACTAGACAATCAATTTAAAAGCAATAAAATACCAATTGACAGCATCGTTTTCTCGATTCCCGCAAAGTCAATTGCAAAACTCAAACTGGAGCTCTAACTCCATGGAGCTCGAATCGGAAACGACGTCATTCTCTGTTCGACTTGGCGCGCTGAAATGTAAGCCGCACAAAGTTGCCACAAGTCCATTGTTATGGCCGGGATCGGGATTATGTTGCAGTTGCAGTCCACGGACGAGCGACCACTGTGCTGCAGCGATAGAGAAGAGGCGAATTTTCCCATTTTCTTCCGGCGTGTTTTGTGTCTGGCGAGCGTCTAAGCGTCTAAAGCTCCCGCTCGCGCGCCTTTCGCTCAGCTGTTCCGCTTTTCCTTTGCCACCGCCAAGCCATTATTTTCCCGATTAAACAGTCTATGCATGCATGCTCTCTCTCTCCCTCTCTCTCTCTCTCTATTGCTCGCCTCTTCACTCGCTCGCGCTGTGGGTGTGTGCCAGCAGCGCTTTTTCATCTGCCACACATTTGGAAAAAACAAAATAGCAACATCAAAAAGTTTTTCAGTTTGCTTGTTGCTTTACACGCGTGCGGTTCGCTTGGATTCGCTCCTCCTTCGGTCCATAAAGTGCAAAACAGAGAGAGAGAGTGTGTGTGTGTGTGCGAAGCCGCCAAAGGTAGATAGATTCTGAAATTCTGAAATTCCGCTGCTATTTCGGACGGCTGTGCAAACTTAGTGATATACGCTGCGTATACGCAACGCTGTCAGCACGTCACCCATACGCGCAGTGGGCCCCGAAGTGTGTGCAGTGTGAAATATTCTTTTGGGGTTTCTGGCGCTCGGTGACGCTCAAGGTGGCGCATTGGCGCAAAATTCAATTCAATTTTGATAGCCCCCACCCTGACATATAGCCCACTGAACAGCACAAACAGCCCGATCTATGTGTATGCTGGCGGGGGGTGCTTGTATTTTTTTTTTTTGGCAACACCGCCCAACCAGGTTCCCTGTGTGAGTCAGCGGCTTCTTGCCGTGACCGCGACGGCAGTGAAACCGAAATGAAAGGCGGTGCATTTGTTTGGCGGCGATGAGATGAAAACAAATGAGAACACCTCGCTCCCAATTCACAAATGTTATCCAATTAGAAGCGTAAACAAAGGCCGAATATAACTCGCGGGCAGGTGTTGCATCCAGATCCAGTTTTTATTTTTTCGCAGCGCCACAAGAACAGCAACAGCAGTGATATAACAGAGATCTGAGTTGCCAGTTGGCACTGGGCGCACATTATTATGGGCCCTATTCCGATTCCACTCTGTCATTGGCGACTTGGCAGCATGCAGCATGTAGCAGCACTGCACATGCAAATAGACACACAAGCACTGCGATAACTAGAGCATCATCTTGTTTTGGTGCCAAAGTCAAGCGTATAATTGCCAGCCGGAGGCGGATTACAGGGACACTTGCCACTTTCACACAGCGCCGCTCAATATGTTCAATACTCGGCGCCCACGAGTTGGCGAATTTGCTTAGCTTTTATTTAATGTCATTATTTCCGATGCCTTTCAATGGCCTTTCGCAAGCCATATTCATTGCGATGGCTGGGCTGTGCCATTTGTGAATGGGATGTGGGGCGTTTGATTCGCCATATCTGTCGCCAATACCACGACAATGAAAAGCCAGTGCGAACAATGGTAGCAGCAACAAATTACCTCTAATAGTCAAGTGACGCCCAGGCGGCGAAATTGTTTTTCAAATCGCTCAATTGGAAATGAAATAAGTGAAACGACATGGAAATAAAAACTATTTCTTGGTCACTTGCAAATATATTAATGGAAATAGCTTTGCCACGCAATTAAGCAAACAAATACAATTTTTTTTGATTGACAGCTTAGCAAAATTTTTGGGATATTCCTCAATCGCTTTCAATTTGTGTGCCATCTGCGCGATCGTCAACCAGTTTCGAACCACTGCCCTTTGAGGTGCTCCATAAGGGAACTTGGGCAATCGCACCCACACTTTCTGGTTTTAGCTGATCATTTCCAGCATGATTGGTCTGATTCGTTCGGGTCGGGCTTTAGCTTTACGCATGGCTAATTAAAGCAGCAATTATACATTTTGTTAGGCTACAGAACACAAGCCGAAACAGAATAGTTGCCAAATTGGTGTTCTCCAAAACAAGCCAAAAACCAAATTCAAAGGCGGCCTGCGAGTAGCGGAAGTTATAAATTCCTAAGCGGGCTGATATCATGGCTATTTATACGTACTATGTGTCGCCGGCAGATGAGTTATTACCCCAGGGACTAGAAGTTGGTCAGACAGTGCACGGCATATCAATTAGAAGAAAGCGCCGGGCGAGGCCATCACCCTTTGGATTGGCACATGCGACTCCGCCCCGGACAGCAAATAGGTATAGATATATAGGTGCAACATGTGCCACGTTCTAGGTTCCACGTTCCGGTCATTAACCGGAAAAGTGCATCGCTCAGGAAAATACCCATTAAAGATGTCTTAACTTTTAGCACCATCCCCGTCCACTTACTCAGATCATTAATTGCAACCGTTTGATTTGTTTACTCCAAAAAAAAAAAAAAAAAAAAATAAATTCGCAAAAGTACAGAAGGCAGGAAGAGCCAATTCGGGCAAACACAAACAGTTCGCTCGCTTTCGGCTAGTACATCGCGGGAAAATTTAAGTGCAAATAAAAACAATGACGACAGCCAAATGGATTTGGCGCTTGGCGCTGAGCATCTTGCTGGGTGAGTACGACCACCTATTACTATGTTATTTTAAGGCAGGCCAAGATGCTGATTTTATGGACTTTTGATCGATTTACGGTATTTTTGGCCAGTTGTGTAAACGAAGAACGTTTCGCACATGGCCCTAGGAACTTGAATGTCTTCTAGCCCCTCGCCGTTGCGGCCTTCGATTAGAATTCCACACAGTGCGTCACGAAAGTATGCGATCGCCAAATCTTTGGCCAAATGGCATAATGTTTATTTTTACAACTGCAAAGTCAGCTGTGTCAGCTGGATGTTTGTCCGTCATTTCATTTATGTGGTTTCTTTTAAATCACATCAACTTAAATTCGAAGAGCTGAGTTAACAAGAAAATTAATTCCCAAATATTTCCACTTAAACAAAAGTTGAATGATAATCAAGAAAATAATTTGATCAAGTCGAAGCTACAATACTCTTGAAAGAATTTGATTGTAATTGAAAACTATAAAGTACAAATATTCGAAGGTCTCTTTTATCTCTTATTAGTTTATGTGGCCAGATGTATTCCAAAATAAATGTAGTTTTTTTTTATTGTTGGCCTACCATGTCGCCGGCTTTGCCTAAATAAATCAATTGAATATATATGTACCCATGCCTCGGTCCATGTGGTAAACATTCGCATCTGTTATTTTTTGATTATTTTCACAAGACTTTGACAAATCGTGCTTGAAAAGCTAGCCAAAATGCTGAGACTCATTCACTCACTTGTCTCGATGCTGTGACATCCCAATCGCTATGCTATATGGTTCAATCGGATGCCCACGCTAAATGGAACTGACTTCCATTACGCATACGCAGCGTTGACTCAACTTGGGCGGTAGGTGGAAGCAGGTGGTCCATTGAAAGTGAAATTCAAACGAATTCTCAGCCTGTCACTACGGAGATCCCAATGGGGTGAATATGTGGTAAAAGTCTTGCAAATGAGGAGACCGCGTCGCATGGCCGTTTAACGAGCGTGGGAAATTTGTACGGCTACCGTGACGCACTTGATGCTATTTTAGGACCACTAGTTTGGCCATTAATAAATAAGCATAACGAATTCGCATACTAATGGCCACAATTTAAATTTTATTTATCAACATCTTTTACGACCTGCAAATATTTCGTTTCATTTCATTTTTTATGGCCTTGCTGGATTGTTGTTTGCAGTGGTGGGCTTCGTGGACGCGGAAAAGCCGAAAGGGTATCACCGGGAGATCTGCCAGTACCGCAAGGGCAAACATGTGAGTGTGGATGCCCTGAGTATGCCAATGTCTTTATTCACCCATCCGGAACTTGCAGATCCAGCCCATGAGTGCCTATCACAATCGCCTGCTGGCGATGCGCCAGCAAATGAAGATCAGAGCCACGCTGCAGGGGCCCGAGATCGACGGCTACATACTGCCCTCCACGGACGAGCATCTCAACCAGGAGGTGGCGGTGCGGGATCAGCGCCTGAGATACCTCTCCGGCTACAGCGGAGTGCGTGCCTTTGCAGCCGTAACCAGCCATGGTGCAGCCATCTGGCTGGAGCACCGCTATGCCCAGCAGGCGGACGGGGAGCTCGAGTGCGACTGGGAGATCTATCTGACCAGTGGCAATGTCACGGTGGCCGACTGGCTGGGCAGCCATTTGCACCTCGACAAGCGGGTGGGCGCCGATCCGCACCTGGTGCCCCACTCCCTGTGGATGCAGTGGGAGCGCGAGCTGGACGACAAGTTCCTCAAGCTGGTCAAGATCAACACCAATCTGGTGGACCACATTTGGGGCCACGAGCGACCGGAGTCGCCCAAGAACCAGGTGATTCAGGTGCACTCGAAGCAGTTCGCCGGCGAGTATTGGCAGGAAAAGGTCAAGGAGCTGCGGCGGCGACTGGCGCACCTGGGCTGCGATGCCATGGTGGTCACCTCGCTCACTGAGATTGCCTATCTGCTCAATATCCGGGGTACGGATATTCCCTACACGCCGGTGGTTAAGGTAGGTTTACATTTACAGTTAGAAAGCCTTAAAAAAACGAATTTTTCCGAAAATTTTTTGAGAAAACTTTTATGTTATTTATCTTGTAATTGTATTTAAAATATCAGGAAAAATATTTATTTAGAAAGGATCTTTAGCTCATCTCCGGAAGCTCCTCCCAAAAAATTAGTTTTGCGGAGATCAATATATCTCTGAACTTGTTCCTCCGAAATTAAAAAAACCATATATTTCGTTAAAGTAATGTTAATCGAATAAATAAGAAAATAAATTTGTTTAACAAAAAGACGGCTTCTTAAAATATAATAAATATATAAAATATATTTATTACCAAATTTCGGAATTAAATTAAAGTCTGTACTTGTAATTTTAAAAAATCTGAAACGATTTTTAAAATTTTCGTGTAACTTCGAAAATATTAACCGAAACGATAAGAAACTTTCTGTGTGTGTTCTTGAATATTTATACACATTAGGAAAAAAATTTAGATTATTTTAAAATTCGAACTGTACCATATCCCCTTAATTTAACTTATGATACTTATTTCTATTTCTTCATCAGTCATATGCCATTGTCAGCCAGGATGACATATTCTTTTATGTGGACCACACCAAGATCAGTTTGGGTATAGACCTCCATCTGCGCACAGACTGCTTCAATGAAGATTGTGTAAAGTAAGCATATAAAAGTCTAAGCAAAGGAGTAGTAATATTACAACGTTTTTCCCTACAGGATTAAGGAGTACAATCAGATCTGGAGCGACATCCGCACCTATGCCCAGATCTGGAAGCGCGTCCTGGTCTCCGCACCTTGTGTCCAGGATCTTGGAGCCTCGGAGGCCATATACTCCTCGATGCCGGGCAAGATTGTGGTCTTCGAGATCTCGCCCATCATCTTCATGCGGGCGCAGAAGAACTCCGATGAGCAGGCCGGCATGCGGAAGGCACACATCCGGGATGGGGCCGCCATTTGCGAGGCCATGAGCAACATGGAGACCAGGTTCCACACGGAGCAGTGGACCGAGGAGAAGATCAAGTACGAGGTGGAGCTGTGGCGCCTGTCGCAGAAGCACGCCAAGGGCCTGTCCCTGCGCACGGTGGTGGCCTACGGCGAGCACTCCGCCCTGCCCTACTACATCTCCAGCAACGTGACCAACATCGAGGTCTCCGACCAGAGCCTGCTGGTCATCGAGTCCGGGGGCCAGTATCTGGAGGGCACCACCGACGTGTCGCGCACCTTCATCTTTGGCGAGCCCACGCACGAGATGAAGAAGGCCTACACGAATGTGCTGGCCGGAATCCTCCACTTGACGCAGCTCAAGTTCCCCGCCGACCTGAAGCCTTCCGAGGTGGACGCCCTGGTGCGCAGCATGGTGTGGAAGGACATGACGGACTACCCGCAGGCTACGGGCCATGGCATTGGCTCTTTTGGCTCCGTGGAGGAGCGTGAGTAGCAGATCGCTTTTGCTATTGGATCTTTATTAAAAAGGTTTTCCCCCCAAAACAGCTCCCATATCGGTTGCCTACGGCAAGAACAGCAGCTTCCACTTCAAGCAGGGCTACTTCTTCTCCAGCGGTGAGTTGTTAGCGCATGGGATCGTCTGTGTTTAAGAAATTCGCACTGTTTTTTTTGGATGGAATACATTTCAAAAACAAATTTTGAAAATGTATTTTAAAATGTATATTCGCCAAATATTCATTTTTCTTATATATTTATTTTTCATTTTGAATGTAAGTTTTTTTTTTAATTTTCTATATTAACAACTTCTTAAAGACAATATTTTAAACTCTGAAATTATTTTACAATTTGTTGCAAATTTACCAAGTAATTGGTATACATTTTGTTTACGAAAATAACATTTGGAAAGGCTCTGGAAATGAAAGTAATTTTCATTTTTAATTTAAAAATTAAAAAAAAAAAACATTTCTAAGTGATTTGTACACGGTCTAGTGTATTCATGCTAAAATTAATTAATCACATTAACCCATTTCCATTCTTTTGTGTAGAGTCGGGATACTACAAGCGCAACGACTTCGGGGTCCGCCTTAAAAACGTGCTCGAGGTGGTGGACACCGGACACACGCATCCCAGCGGCGCACACTTCCTTGCATTCCAGGACGTCACGATGGTGCCCTACGAGCCCAAGTTGATCGACAGCACGCTGCTCAGCGCCGCGGAGAAGCGCCTGCTCAACGAGTACAATGCCAAGATCCGGAACGACATCGGCGACGAGCTGAAGCGACTGGGCAACATGCGCGCCTTCTACTGGATGATGAACCAGACGCGCCACATCCGGGAGTATCTGCCGGAGGACGAATACCGCTCGGCGACGGGCGGAGGAAGTGGTGGCACCACCACGGGGCCTCTGTTACTCCTAGGTTTATCGATGATCGCCCTCACTGCGATGCTACTACCTACGCGATCTTAGGAGCCTGTAATTGTGTAATTATCTAGACTTAGTTAGCTATGCAAATTTAAAGAGAGAATCCGGGACTAACATGAAATCGAACCAATCAATAACTGCAACTGTTAGTATTTTAGTAACGTCATTTGGCCCTAAACATCGAGTTAAATTCGAATAAAATCGCACCCTGCCACCAAGTTCCATGTTTAGGAATAGGTACTCACTTAAACCAAATACGTAAAACGAAGTGTATAAAATCTTTAATCGTAATCGACCAAAAATATGTTAAAACTGTTTACATTAATACCAGCATTGTCTCTATTCTTAAGAAATAACATTGTATATTTTTCTAAATATAATTTGGAAAGAACGAATTTATGGGTTTGGAAACACTATTATCAGGCTGTTGAATAAAAAACAAATGCCTTGGGAAGGTTACATATTTTAGAGGGGGACGTAAATCCGTGCCTAAGTCTCTATTTTAAGCAGCTCTACATTTGACATCAAGCTGTTGTGAAGGTAACATATACATATCTCTAGCATACTTTGGGGCCACACTTGGAAAATACTACCCGTAGTTTGCTAGCAGTGATGCCTCTTTGTCTTTTTTCACGACAGGTCTTATATTTATTGACGGCCTTTGACAAAACAAAATAAACAATAATAGATATTTATTTTCGTCATATTTTTCTCAAACTTACCTATGCGTTTCCCAGGGTGTGATCGACGCCTTGTGTTCCTGCGATATTTATATTTAATGCGGTGCAAACTGATATTTTTACCATTTTACTATTTATTTCCTTAAATTCAAAATCAGTGTACGCAAATTGTCGACAGCTTATCTGTAAAGCTTTAATGTAAACACATTACATATGATTATCAGTGTCAAACCTTAAACGGGTTTTAATCGATTGCATTGAAGATATATTTGTCAACTTTTGTCAAAAAAAAAATTCAAAAAATAATCATATTATGATTAAAATACAAGGAAATCTTTGTTAAAATATATAAAGAGTATACCTCATTTATTCTGTCTCAAACAGTGCGTTTTCGGGCTGTGGTCCTTAAGTAAATACCTTATATGTTGTCATTTTAGATATTGTCTTCGGTTGTTTGCGGCGAACATAGGGTTGTCTCAAAAAATTGAAAGGTAATGCAAATAAATTGAATTGAAAAGAAAAATTTAATTTTTGCTTTAAAAAATCATCCCGAAAATTTTACATAAAATCGCGGTTGTAGCATTAATCAGTAACTCAAATATTAAATAAAAATAAAAAAAAGTAAGGTTCATTTGTAACTCACATTTCAAATTGAATTAAATTGTTAGCAAAACTCAAGTCAATAACCCCAGTAGAAAATGGCTAAAATAAATGGTAAGCTGATATAATCAAGCTGTCTTGCAGCATCTGCCAATGCATCAGATTAACACACTAGAGATTACTCAACCCACTTGCGTTCGTAATGAGGCATTTTCCATCCAATAGTTATTCAACGAGTGTAATCCCGTCGTGGAATACTTCTTAAATGCCCCCAATGGCTGTCAAATCCAGTTCAGCACCTGGGTACCAGACAGGCGACTCGGGATTGACAAAGTCCGATTCGAAATGGGTCATTGCATGCAAGGAGCCAGGTCGTTTACGGTAAATGAATGTCCAAGATCTCCTGCAACTCTAGAACATTTCAGCTTAATCCCCCGAATCGAACTAGAACAGATCGCCTGGCCCAGTTTGGACGGGCAAGAAGGAGTTGAGATGTATTGGCCAACTTCATCTTTTGTGGGCTGCACCAGAACCCGACACTTGTTCTCAGAGATTGACCCATTTTGCCGGATGGCCCGAGCCAGCGAACCTGTTTCCCCTTTCCGATGATGCGCTATGCGCTATGCTATATGCCATCGACGGCCTGGCCAAAACATGAATTAATTTGGCCCGGTGCTTTGGGTGCCTTTGGAGCTGCAGCCTCGAGCGCAGCGCCATCGTCTGTCTAACGGTGCACTCGAATATTGGCCAGAGATTTGCCTGGCTAATGGGCACGCGGCAATTTGGGCCACTGTCCACGCAGGTTTTTCCACTTTTTTGGCAGCAGAAACTGGGCATCGAGTTCGAGTCAAGGTGGACGGGCGAGGCGAATCCGACCTGACCTGCTCCAAAAAAGCGAGGACTACATTATGATTGCGGGATATGCTGCATGTGAGTGAAATGGGTGTCATGCAATGAAATCGATGTTACAATCTTATGAGAATGTAATAAAAAATCACTTTTAAATACCCTTACAATTCTTTAGCATCTTTTCAGTGTATTTTCATACCTAAATTGGTGAATTCGTCATTAAATTGCCATTCAAATGGCAATCCCACTTCAGTTTTTAAAATTTTCGCAAAAAATAATGATGTACCCCCTTATCAAATATGCAAAAAATGATCAAATAATTATTTTAACAAAAAATCGATTTTTAAAAATCGGTTTTGGCGTCAAAACAAAATGTATTTTTATAAAACTATTGTGGATGTGTAGTATAGGTCGCCAGCTGTACAAAACAGCATCTCCTTTGCCTATACGTCTAATATGTAACTAGCTTCTTTAAAAGCTAAAACATCATTAAGATGATCACATCATTAAAATAAATAAATATTATGGGATCTTAAGTTCGCCAAGAGGCATTAAGAATAGTCTGGTGTGGGATAAATAATTAGTATAACAACTTATGAATTTATTGGCGGTTGTAACTACCACAGCCATAGCAACAAGAAATAAATGAGATGAATATCGTATACAAGTTGCAAAATAAAATTTAAAGCATGCAAATTTCTTAAATTAGCTTACAAATTGCTTTATAATGTGTTTCTAACGAATTTATTAACCAATTGAAATTCAATGGCCTTGAATCGTGCAACTGTTTGCTGTTTAGAGAAAACAATCATGTAAACATCCGTCCACAAGCCAAAACTTCTTTGCAGAAGGGAAAAGTTATTTAGTTGGCAAACTCCTGGTCACTACTGTTGACTTCAGCGTGGCAAATTGGCATCATTAGTGTCGTACTTAGGATCACCAGACGCCGCAGGTTCCCTCCACAGGCCGAACTTTTGGCTAATCCACTTCAACAGCGTAAGTCGTCAGTCGTCGGCCATCAGCCATCAGCAGTTTGGCCAACTGCACGCATGCGCTGGGGCCAAAACAAAACTGGCCACTGCACCGGCTAGATGAGTGTACCCATCTCTTTCTGTGCTTGAGTCTCCGTCTCTTTCTGGGCCTCTGCATCTCGACTTTGGCTTTGGGAGCCATCAAATTGGTCTGCCGCAGTTAGTCTCGTTATTGACTTCGCGCACTCCGGTCGCTGCCTCGGCTGCTGAGTTTTCCACACCATTTTCTCGGCTGGAAAATGCAAATTACGAACGAATGAAAGTGTTGTCGCCGACTAAAGAATAGGAACGTGACCGAGTCATTGGGAAAATAAGCTAAATTTGTACTTTGATTGCGGGTCTGGCGAAGAAAGTTTTGCCTGTCTTATCGGTGGGTAAAATCGAGACCAACATTTAGCAATTTATGATCTGTCATGTGAAGAGTGATTTTTTATATGAACACTGATGCCAAGAAAAGGCCAAAGCAGGTAAGATATTAAATTATTACTCATACGACATGTGTGCAAGGGCTATTGACCTGTCTTGTGCTCCATTATTAGTAGTGCGTTTAGACAGTACCAATGCAGGTCAATTATTTATTTTCCTTCCAATTAAATCCCCGAGGTGATCCTAATTAGCCCGAAGAACAAACTCGGGCCATCACATTCTCCTAGCCAAGAATGGCAAATAAAAACTGGACATGGCCATCAGGTGTGTGTGCACCATATGTGACAACCATATAAGCCTTGTTAGCAGTTGCGGCGGCAAACGCTTATTCGATTAGCGGGATTTACGGCCACTGTTGGTAGCTTCTTATTCCATGGCGACGACACTCGAATCAAGATCGACAAGCCATTTTTCCTGCTAAACTCGTTCAGGTTTCCTACTTACCGCGCTTTGTCCGCTGGCCGCGATTGTTGTCCGCGCGCGCGCTTCTTTCTGGGAGGGATCTCGGCTTTTCTTGCAATTATTTTCCGATTTTCTCCCCGGCGCCGTATGCTGCGTGACAGGTCCGCGGTTCAGAAACTGGAGCACCGATGCGCAGTTTATTTCAGCTGCCGGCCAACTTGTTTCCACTTCTGAAGGTGGGTCACAGCCATAACTCCTCGACTGGATCCCCTCGCCACGATCCCCTCGATCCGATCCCCTCGCCACGACTCACAGACACGTCTGTTCTGCGTTGGACGTGGCTATAATCGTGCGTTGAGCCATTTCCAATCATCAGTTTACCGCTATTGAACAATCTCTTCATCGGGACGCTAGAATGTGCTAATGAACCATTCTAATGCACTACAAGCTCGATTCAATTGTCGTTCTTATAACAGTAGGCAATGCATCATTTATGGTGGGAATGTTTAACATTGAATGGATATCTTTCAGTGCCACTTAAATGCCCAGCTTAGAAGAGGGCCCAAAGAACACAACATTCTAAGTTTTAAAACAAAAAGGTTTTATTCAGATTGTTACAAAAAAATGGTCATAAACAGTAATACATAACTTCCACTCATGAGTTGATTGTCTTCAAAAAACAATTAAACATTAAAATTGGCATTGTCTTGATCTTTTCGTTCTTTAAGATATCTTGACTTCATCTATTTATGTAAAATGAAGATTTAACTTTAGAAATGTTATATTAATGGCTTTTTGAGCAATGCAAAGTAAATTTATGGTACATTTCTTCTGATTATTCTATAGTCTAATCAATAAGGTCAAACATATAAGGGATTATATTAAAATAAAAACACTTTAAAATATTTTAAAATTTTAATATAGATATCAGCCTTTAGTTTTAGTTTAGTGTATGAATATTGGCAATCAGTGCCCCGCTGGGGCTTCCAAAAATAGAAACAATTACTATAATCCACGGCCAGAAGCAGCTAGCCCTTAATTTGGCCAGCGGCCTTAATAGTCAGTGGCATCGCACCTTGTAATTATGAATGGCAATAAAGAAAATCTATTTTCTCGTGCCCACCGAGAAGTGCAAACTTTCCCCGCCAAGGCGATAAATGACAAGAAAACAATTATCTTGCTGGCCAAGAATTACGATCTTATCTGGGCGAGGAACGGCACTGGGCCACAAAGAGCACAGTTAGCCAACAATCAGATGGTGTCGATGCGGATGCCCAGCGTTCATCTGGGCTCCCGGTTGGAGGAGTTCCCACCGTCTGGGGGCGGATAGCTGACCCACAAAGCACGCGCCATTTGAACCCAGCTAAGCGAAATAAATGAAAGGCATTTAGCACTTGCTTCGGCCAG